TTTTTCTATATAATATTTCACATGGTTGGCAATATTGAACATCGGATTCAAGTAAAAATTACGCACATGATGCAATAATAAGGTGATGTTTGAAAACAAAAACCTTTGTTTTTGTCTCGACCATTTGTCTAATTTTTCCATATAATATTTCACATGGTTGTCAACATTTCACATCGAATTCACTTTGACAGTTAATCAAGTCATCAGCTGCGCTAAATGGACTACCTATTTATTGTGCCATGGACAAAATCAAGTACAGAGTTGCTGGGGTTGCCATCATCGATTTAGCAAATGAGACTACTTCAATAATTATGCCATGAAAAGATTATTACTTTTTACTGTTATTTAAATTTTATAACAATATAAATGTGAAATATTAAGAATCCGCGGAAAATGGCTTTGTAATTAAAAAAATAATAATTACAGTTTGAAAATATGGCAGCATACATCGGGATGTGAAACACCTGTTCATTTTTGATGAAATTTGGTGCAACAACTGCAACATATTACAAATAAAATAACATTTTTTATTTTGCCGGCATTGAAATATTTATTTTTCATAAAAAATATTTAAAACTTATATTTTTGTAGTCATCTCCTTTAAATTTATTAGCGAAAATGCTCTCACAAAATGTCATCACATTCTCCCACTCCCTTTTTCCCCAAAGCGGATTTTTTCGCTTTCGAACTTGATTCAGAATAAGGGAAAAGTGAAAATGCAAAGTTCTGGTTCAAAATAACTTTAAAAGGAAAAGCGAAAGAAATCACTTTGAATAAGGCTGTGCATCATTTGAATAACTTCAGTGCGAACTGTTGCAAGCATTGGTTATTTTGAGGTAATTTTCGAACACTTTTTGACACATATTGGGCGGTATCTCAGCCATAATTTGAGTTGAAGGCTTGTCTGTATAAGTCCCATAAAAATGTATAATGGTTTCAAATCGTATGATCTTGATATTGACACGACGAGGAATTACGCGGCCAGGATATGTCTCTTGCAAAACCCTATTTTTTCCAAGTCGTATTCTACAGTCAAACGTACGACCATAATCAAAGCGTTATGGTGACGCACTATGGGTCAGAGATCCATATTAGAGCAGTGGGTTTATGAGATAAATAAATATGAAATATAAAGGTTTCGAGGACGTTGATTATGATTCTGCAAGAAAAAAAGTAATAATGTAATAGGGTGAACCGAAAACGGCAGACAATTTTTTTTTAAAGATTAAATAATATAATTATTTTTGAATACGTTTTGTAGAGCTATGGCCACTGATTAAAATTTTACTGGTGCAAAGCTCAATGTATCCAGATTTAAAATATAAATATAAGGTCGGCTCTACCTAAAATGGACTTTTTGTAAAAAAAAAAGTTTTTCCTGAACCATAGTGTGATGGCTACAGTCGTTGCATCATCGTTTTCGAAGAAATAAGGACCAATCATACTTTCAGAACAAAGACTACCAAAACAATTGAATTTTTCTGCATATGGTGGCATCTCTTCATTTATTTGAGGACTCCAAAACGGCATTTAGATTACAACTTTTCCTGAAAATAAGTTAAGGTCAGAGATATAATTTCGAATGACTAGTAATGACTGGTATTTGTTTACATATAAACACACTCACACTTGTTTACAAAAAGAAAAAAAAACCTTACCACGAATTTTAAAATAAAACAATAAGATTTTAGTCAAATTTCTGTATTGTTTATTTCACCAAATACGTATTTCGGGTTTCCCTTAATTTTAGGCGCTCAGTGTACACATCAATTAACTTCATAAAAGGGAAATTCGAGAAATGCAATGATTGGTCTGTTCCAAGGCCTATATAAGGTCGGCTAGTAAGCGAATTCATAGAAAATACATAAGTTTAACGTCAATTTTTTTTTGTCGAGGCGAAAACTAGTTGTTTCGCCTTTAAATGAAAAACACAGTCAAAACACAACACAATCTATAATTTGTAGAATAATTTACTTGAAAATCTTCTTAACACTCTTGAAATACTCCAAATGTTCTGTAAAAATACGATATAAATGAAAATTGAATATTGACAAAATATTAATATTTTCGTTTTGACGTTAAATTAAAATTGAATTGAATATTGACAAAATATTAATATTTTCGTTTTGACGTCTAATATAATTTTGTATGTATGTATAGGTTTCAAAATAAGATTTGACAAAAAACTTGGTCTGTTCCAGTACTTTTTAATAGTAAATCTTTAAAAGGGAAACATTTCAAAATTGCTCTCAGAGTACAAAATAATTTGAAAAGTTCGGGAACGCAAATCTATTAAATATGCCAAAATTAGATGGCAATACTTCAAAAACAACATAACAGCCAATCAGAAGTAGGCATTCCTGTTTACCATTTTTATTCGTCCAAATTTCTCGAGTAAAAAGTTTACAAAGAGAACGCCATTTTGTTTTGTGGTCTCTTAAATTTAAGTCAATGTTTTATCAGTTTTGTGTGTTGTGGAACGGTTTTCGAGTAAAAAGTTGGAAAACATGTAAAATGAGTAGATTCTTTTAGGTTCTGGAACGGAACTGATGTATGTTGTTTAAAAAAAATCATCTTAAAGCACGATATGTGGGTGTGACAGAATCACAATTTTCTTATGGTAGGTTTTAATAATTTTTATGCGTTGTGAGATAGTTATATGATACACTTGGTTTGATAGATGACGAGTTCCAGTCCCATGCTTTTGAAACCACTAAATGCATATCCCTTTATTAACTTACCAACCGACATTACACATTTATTCTCTCTCTGGCGCTTAATAACTTTTAATCATTTTAATACTAGTCTAAACAGCTAGGATTTAGTACCTCGATTTATAAATAGAGTGATTTAGAAGGCAAAATCAAAACGCGGGCTATGAATATTAAGGGAACTTTATAGTAAGAGCGCGTTTAGACTACTAAATCCACTCGATCTCAAATGTTCCATAGCATGTATGTCAACGATACGGAATTGACCATGACACAATAAATAGGCAGTGCGTAATTTCTATTTGAATTCGATGTGCAATGTTGCCAACCATATGAAATATCATAAGGACAAATTTTACAGATGGTCGAGACCATGATGCAATAATAAGGTGATGTATCGAAACAAAAACCTTTGTTTTTGTCTCGATTATCTGTAAATTTTTTCCATATAATATTTCAAATGGTTGGCAACACTGCACGTCGAATCCAAGCAGAAATTACCCACTTTGACAGTTAATCGAGACATCAGCTGCGCTAAATGGACTACCTATTCATTGTGCCATTGTCGAGACAAAAACAATGGTTGTTGTGATACATCACCTTATTATTTCATCATGGAATTGACATTATAGTACGTTTACATTTAACCGGATTTCGTTAACCCAGTGGGATTCAATTGTCAATTCCTTTACATATATGTCAAATAAATCCTCATAAAAAGGTAAAAAGTTCTAATGTATATGCTGTTTTATACGTATTCTAACAGAGGTTTTAAACATGCCACATTGGTTTAATAGCGCATTTACACAACCATTGATTTCCTAAAATTTAGATTATAAAATTCACTCGATCTTGAAAGCCAATTCCATGGCACAATAAATAGGTAGTCCATTTAGCACAGCTGGTGTCTCGATTAACTGTCAACGTGGATAATTTCTACTTGTATTCGATGTGCAATGTTGCCAACCATGTTAAATATTATAAGGACAAATATTGACAGATAATCGACACAAAAACAAATGTTTTTGTTTTGATACATCACCTTATTATTGCATCATGGCCAATTCCATAGGGTATACATGAAGAAAATTGAAATTTGATATAAAGTGTATTTCGTATATCTAAACGTGCCGATGAAGAATAGTGTTGCCAAATAAAATAAACACATAGTGTTCCTTTCGCTGTGGTTGGCATCGCGATTGCCATTTAGCTCGTTATATACTAGGTGTGTTCTAGCAAAGGCAGTTTAAATATAACATTTGATCATGATTAAAGTTTGTTTCTTTAGAGCGTGTTTAGACTACTAAATCCAATCGATTTCATGTTCACAAATCCAGTGGATTATATCTGACGTATACGCTATGGAATGGGCATTTAAGATCGAGTGGTTTTCTAAAATCTAAACGCCTTGGTATACATTCTATCTGGTCCGAATTCAGTAGTAAAATAATAATTCAATTTCTTCTTAGATATATTTAATATACTTTATTGGAAATTTAAACAAATTATATTATTTATTTATATCTATTGGCTATTGTATTGGGAATCAGTGAAGTTGTTATAAATTTTACAATTTTAAAATTAGTACAGAACGCCAATAATGTCGATTATATGCATCACATTTCGGCAGGCTTAGTGACATCCTCAAAATGTTTAGTAGATTGTCAAATACTTTTAAAGTATAACAATGATCCCACAGAAATGTAATACTTTTTTTTTCTTATATTGACTTTACAATACATTACTACTACATGTGTATTTTTTTAAATATATAGAAACAGTTAATTATTTACAAAGAATTAAAATAATAATAAGTACATTTTGTTTAAGATTTAGAGAAGAGGAGAGTTATTTTGTGAAACATTAGGAAACAAATTTGTGATGTTCTTAGCAAGTTACAAAGTTCAAATTTTACATTACAATTTGTTCTTGATTCTTAAAATTACGATATTATTAATAATAATTATTATTATTTCTATTGTGATATTATTAACAATAAAAGTTTTGTTTTCTTATTTCTATTTCATTTTTTGTGTTTGTTGAGGATATATTCTTAAATATTGTTTGTTCTTCCTTCCTTTTGTTTGTTATGGCTTGATTAAAAAAGTCCAATAATGATTTTGGGATACTTTTGTATTATTTCTTTGAGTTGTTGTTGTCATTGACGCATTTCTTTTAAATTGTAAAATATTTCCATTTTATTGAGTGTTTTTGATTTTTCTTGGGTCCAGCATTTTGTAACTACGAATGTGCGCAACATTTTATTTCTTTGATAGGGGGTTCTTTTCTTCTTCCTCAGTAATATTTTACATTTTAAAAGAAATCGTCAAATGTTTTCGATTATGTTTGATATTGAAGCATCGGTGCTGAAAGGTTCGGATGATGTGAGCTGTTCATGCGTAACGCTGATAAACTTTTATTATACCATTCGTCTTCGGGTGACATACCTAAAATGAAAAAAAAAAATAAAATATTTATTAGGGGAAAGTTTGTAAATAATATCTTAAAAATAATATATCAAAACAAATTTATTAGATTATTTAGTATGGCAAACATATATTAGCATTTTCGGTCAAAATATATTGCGTCGCGATCTCGTCATAGTACACCCTGATACTGGAGGATTTCCTTAATCGAGTTGATTTATAATCGTATATGTAAATTTACTTTGATTTAATACGTGTTCAGGAAATATCCAATACAAATCCAAGGAAAATGTGATAAAGGCACGTTTAGACTATGCTTTCTAAATCAACACGATTTCTAAAACGCCTTTACACTCTGAGTGCGTTTACAACACTAAACTAATGGTGAGCATAATTTCTCTTAAAATGGTTAAGGGAAAATGAAAACCATGAATACTCCGCGGTATTTAATTAGTTTAATATTTTTAAAACATGAATAACATCTCAGGAAAAATAAATAAAATAAATTCATTAAAAAAATTGCGGACAATTTGTCATTAAGGTTTATTTTTGTTTTGACATCACAAAATGTAAAGAGAACGCATCAACGCTGGTGTGCACGTTTGCCCAACTATGCACTAAAACCACTCGATTTCTAATGTCAATTCCATAGCGTAGGCATCACCTTAATCATTTTTAAAAATCCAGTGGCTTATATTTGACGTACACGCTATGGAATTGACTTTTAAGATCGAGTGGATTTCGTAAATCTAAACGCTCTTTATGTCATCTAAATCGAAATACAAAATTCTAACTGTGTTGACAGTCAGCTGTTATTTGTTTACTTATAAAAATGCATTTCAGTGGTTCCACTATTACAGATATCGGATATAAGCACATCTCATATAAGAAAAAATCGCATACATATAAGAAAGTATATCAAAAACACCGAGCCTTTTTACATCTTCTCAGTGTAAAAATTGCTTCATATAAGAAAAAATAAGAATAAGAAAAACACTGAAATAAGAAATGTTTGTCAAACACAAAAGCTGACAAAGGTATTTGAAAACGTTCCATATAAGAAAATTTGTAGGATTGTTGGACAATTTATTAGCATTGAAATTTTTCAAAGAGAAATAAAATCATTTTTGAATTCTATTTCAAATAATATTATTAATATGTACGAAAACATATGCAACTATTTTTAATGAAGCTGTGAACTGATTTTAATTTAGTAATTTTGTATTTTTATAAGCTGAATTTTTTTGTTTAATAAAATGTTTTTCTATAAAACTAGCTTTTCTTACATTAAGAGAATATATTCATAAAAGAAAAAATTTCTTATATGCGTATGTATGCTTATAAGAAACAACTTTCTTATGTCCGATAATTCCATATAAGAAAAAAACGCGTATAAGAAAGAAATCTTCGGTTTTTTTTGAGTTTCTTATGTCCGATATCTACTGTATAATTATAATATTTATTATAAATGTAAACAAATGATAAATTATTCAGCTGATATTTTTATTTGCTGGCAACTATTTTGAATTTTAATGTATTTACAAGGGTAAAGCCATGATAAAGATGATGTATCAAAACAAAAACCTTTGTTTTTGGCTCGACAGTTAATTAATACATCAGCTGATCTAAATAGACTACCTATTCATTGTGCCATGGGTAAAGCGTTGCCACTTTTAGGAGAAGTGATGCATTTTTTGGCACAAAATCAGAGTTGTATTTAATATTGCCTCGATTAAGCATGGGATTTCGAGCAAATCGAATATGAAGTGGTTTTAAGAAATCCTGAAAATAAATTAAAGTTATTTACACTGGCTTTGAAACCATTGGAAATAACTGTCAGCTGGTATTTGTTTATATATACGCACACTTTCACACTTGTTTATAAAAATAAAAGCATTTTTACCATGAAATTTAAAATAGAAAATAAAATTTTAACTCAAATTTTTATTGGAAATTGGAAACTTTGATAAATTACAAATACTTCAAACAGAAAACAATTACAATAAGAGACTTACATTGGAAATGCTACACATAAACAACCTACCAACAACAAAGAGAATTAATTTTAAGAGCGACACAAACAACGCAGCTTACTGTTACAGACACCTTACACAGAAAGAGAGATCGTGCAGTAGCTAAAATAAACAATATTTACATCCGACGACGATAGAGAAGTCTATCATAGTTTTAAGTAAACTTGACACCAGTTTATTTTTAAGCGATTTTGTCACTTCATTCTGTATAATTAGTGTCATTAATATCAACAATGTTTGTAGATTATCCTGAGGATGCAATTTAAATCAATTGCGAAATATCGAACGTGAAAAATAAAAAAGAAACTAGACCTCAAGCCCCAACAAATATATTGTTTTATTATTATAATCATCAAAAGGTCGAACAAAACAACGCAGAATGAAGGAATGTGATATTTATAATAACATAACATAAGTTCATCCGCTCAGTGCACATATCGGTTAACTCCATAAACTGAAAAATTGAGAAATCCGATAATATATTTTGTGTTTAAAATTCCATAAATAATATGAATTCACCAATATTCAGAAATATTATAAGTATAAAAAGTTGTGACTATACCAAGAATTTTGATACTCAAATTTAATATTTTCCAAAAGGTGGAGTTAATCGATGTGCACCGAGCGACTCATTTTTAGGAAATAAATGACACATCAGTCCTAAATCCTGATTTTTCTATTGTATGTATATGCGCTTTAAATTATTAACTATCCATGTGATAAGATTTCCGTATGTCTTATTTATATCATCAATTTGTTGCTGTTATTTCCTCTTTAATTTTAGTTTCTTAATTTATTCGTTATTTAATATATGATGATTCCTGTTATTTCGTCTTTTTTCTCGATTGCATCAATTTTATTTCCTACTTCATTCGATGTTATTAACTGTCTCATATTTTGTAACTAAGATATAATCGTAATTTTCTTGTAGACTATGAAAATGTGTATGTGTTGTATGTGTAATAGAATTTTTTGCCATCTAACATCTTGGCGAGCTTCTTAAAGGTGTCTGTTATGATATATTTTCTTTTTTTCATTTCCTCTCTAGCATGTCAGCTCCTTAAAGGTGTCTGCAGTAATCTTTCTCCCATTCCACCCTCTTTCATGATGCTTGTAAGTCTTTAATATCCCTCATACCTTTAACTATAGGAAATTTACAAGTTATCTACCATACAAGAAACTTCTTCAATGTAATTGCATAATTTCCGTTTCTTAAGAAGCAGCCAATATATTTATATAGTATATGAATTCATGAACTACTAAGGCTGTGCGAGTATAGATAGCCTTCATCAGCGTATTAGTGTGAAACGAGTCAGTCATGGCACAATAAATAGGTAGTCCATTTAGCACAGCTGATGTTTCGATTAACTGTCAAAGTGGGTAATTTTTACTTAAATTCGATGTGCAATGTTGCCAACCATGTGAAATATTATGAGGAAAAATTTGACAGATGGTCGAGACAAAAGCAAAGGTTTTTGTTTTAATACATCACCTTATTACTGCATCATGCTTACAGTAAAATTACATCAAATAGGCCATAATCATAAGAAAACTGGGTAATAGCATCACATCACTATTAATTAGTATTGCCAACTCTTGAAAATGAGACCTTTTGCTATTGGGGTCTTGGCACAATAAATAGGTAGTCCCATGATGCAATAATAAGGTGATGTATCAGAACAAAAACCTTTGTTTATGTCTCGACCATCTGTAAAATTTTTCCTTATAATATTTTACATGGTTGGCAACATTGCACATCGAATTCAAGTAGAAATAAAGATTAACGTCATTATATATTCGTAAAGAAATTAATTGTCAAAGTGCATAATTTCTACTTGGATTCGATGTACAATGTTGCCAATCATGTGGACTATTATAAGGAAAAGTTTGACAGATGGTCGAGACAAAAACAAAGGTTTTTGTTTTGATACTTCACCTTATTGCTTTAAATTTCGTGTTGCCAATGAACAACAACCACGTGTAAAAGTAAATTGTCAAATATTTGCCAATTACATTGCTTATGGTGTTTTTACACGATATGTATTTTACATATACATATGGAAACTTTTTTGCATATGGAAATCGAACTCGTCATGTGAAACATACGGAAATTTCAATGTGTCAAAACGACATGCAATTACATATGTATTTTTTCCTAATTTTACATGTCAAATAAATCCTCATAGAATATCATAATAACTAAATTATCTCTTATTTCGATTTATTTGAAATCATAATCGAAATCTCAGTACTAATGGAATGCAACACTGGTTTTGTACGTAAAAATAGATCTCTTCGGTGAAACTAACAAAAGTTGCAAGTGTTTTTAAATATATTTAAAAATAATCCAAAGAATAAATTCAACATTTTACTTAAATAGATGTTGTTATAAGGATATTTATGTTAAAATGTTTTTGAAATTTACACTTTTCACAATTGTATAGCAATTTTGTACACCATATTTTGGGTGCCTTTCAAACGAGTGCATTTCGAATAATGCTTTTTAACATATTTATTTCACATTGCCAACAAAAAATACTCAAAAACAGTTGTACATACCCATTGAATCTTGACGTACACCACCCATATTCGTACCATGTGCCATTGAGAATGGTTGTGACATACCCGGATATGATGAGGCTCCCATTTGGAATAGATCCTGAAAATATACACATTTTGTTAAATATATTCACCCCTATTCCGTATGTCGTCGTCGTTGTCGACGACGTTTCTCTTTCGACATCACTTCGCATCGACATCGACATCACTTCGACACTGATTTGGTATTCTGTAACACTCATGCGACGATGTCGACTATTTATCGATAATATCAATAAAAACAAAAATTTTGTTGCATATTTTTGGGCAAAAATGTGTTTGTATCCTTCACCGCACTGTGGCACAGGGCATTATGTCTTGGTAAATGTGTTTGCAACGACCAAAAAGAAACGAGATAGACCCATAGTTACTTTTTAGTATATAGTATGTACATAGAATTATTTTTCAGTCGATTTATGCATGTCCCTCCATTCATGTATTATTTTAAACAAGTTACATGCCACCATTATGATCCGAACGGGATGAAATTTGGAAAAAATCCATCCAATTGGGATGAAATTTTATTTCCACATAGACGAGTCCTATTGACATTGGTCAAAATCGGTTTAGATTTATATATAGATCCCATATATTTTTCTTTATTTACACTTTATTTTGCATTAAGTATTGAATAGATTCTAGAATGATGTATCCTGTTCTTGTCCGGTCATGTTTTTTTTTTTTTAAATTTAAAAAAAAAATGTTCAAACGCTTCAGTCGTCAACAAAAACTATGACGAAGAAATCTTCGACATCGTCGTCGTCACACGTTGTTACGGAATACCAAACATCTTTCAATAGTTATCGATAAATGTCGACAACGGCATAGGGAATACCAATTTGCAGAAGACGACTCTCTTCGACGTCGATTCGTGTCGACGTCGACATACAGAATAGGGGTGATTGTTTAGATTTATTTTTTGCTTCTTAAAGAAGTTTAACATACCTGAGGATAACGATTTATTGAATTATGATGGGGATACGGTTGATAACCACGTGATACACTATAACCTTGAATATTACGCATCATGCCATTACATGAGGGGATCACAGATGGTGCCAATGCTTTTTGTAATTGCTTTTCTTGTTTGCGATATTTGGCGCGACGATTTTGAAACCAAACCTGTAATTATAAAAGGGAAATTCATGAGGAAGGTAATTTAAAAAGAAAATATGTAATGGAGGATACAATTTGTTATCAAGGTCCTACTTGTTTTAAATAATGATGACTTACGAAATAAACTGAAATAAAGCATTTAGAATTAGCATTTTTTATTCGACTAACTGTCAAATTTTATCTACTAATATTTCTCATGGTTGGCAACTTTGCACGTGGAATTCAAGTCGAAACTGGCCACTTTGACAGTTCATCGGATAGTCTGCTGCGCTAAATGGATGATTACCGATATATTGTGCCATTGGTAAATCGATATCATGATGCAATAATAAGGTGATGTATCAAAGCAAAAACATTTGTTTTTGTCTCGACTATCTGTCAAAGTTTTCCTTATAATATTTCACATGGTTGACAATATTGCACATCAAATTCAAGTAGAAATTACAGTTAATCAAGACATCAGCTGCTCTAAATGGACTACCTATTCATTGTGCCATGATCGATATAATGCACATTATCACGATAAAAGCTGATAACTATTGATTATACAATATCTGTTTTTAAATGCGTTCACATTGACATGTTTAATTTTAAATCCATAAACCTGGATCTAAAACTCGTATCTAATCTGATAATAACCAACTATAACGAGTCCTTCCTACAAAGATTGTGGAATATTAGAAATCTCATAAAATATATTTTCTTGGTCGTTCATAACAACCGCTCCTTTAAAACATTCTTCTCCTTCATAATTCCAAAAAATAAAAAAAAATAAATACAATATTTTTCTAAGAAAACGTTTTCTTTTTAACAAGGTATGGGTTTTAAAGATGAAAGTCTGTAAAATGATTAAGTTTGGTTGTTGTCTTTTTCTTTTCCTGTCCTTATATTAAGTGATATTTTTTCTTACGTCGACATAAGACATCCTTTAAGGACATCCACAAGAATGGTGGGGAGCTTTGGAGAAAAAAATGAAAATTATAAAAAAAATAATTCCAACATTTGAAGGCAATGCCTGAGGAAAAATACCCTAAAGCACATTGAGGGTATTAGCGAACGTTGAAGCGAACGATGATGGAGGCGACAAAGAAAAACCAGCAAACAGGGAGAGAGCAAAAAAAGCGACCCTTGAAGTTTACAATTTCATTTCAGCATCATTATTTTTGTCTACAACTATGTATGCGGGTATATACATGATTATATATACATTTAAATTACGTATATAGACATTTTTTATGCCATACAACAAACTAAAACAAAAAAGAAAAAATGGTTGATGGATGCAGCTTTATTGCTAGGGAGAGTAAGGATGATTTTGTTTTTTTTCTAAGGGAGAAAATTGAAAATAGAAAAAAAATATATAAACAATTTATTTAGTTGGGGATATCATTCATTAAAACTGCAAACCGACCAGTCAAGAAGCCTTCTAATCAGCTAATCATCTAGATTTTTAACATGAGTGGTTAATGTTGCCTATCTTTGTTGTTTCATCGGAGATTTTTATAGATGAACATAAGGGCAAATGAACCGAAGGGCAAATAAGCTTTACAAGACGTTACAAGACCAGCAAACTAAAGCCTCTGTGCCTAATGACAGAATCAATAGACAATCAATCAGAAGCATAGGCAGACAGCCAATGTTACTTTTAAAATTCCGCAACCGACCCCAGGAACCAAAAATGCGAAAACTAAAGATATGGGTCATTGCGGAACGAACTGGTTCAATAAAACTATTCTGAAAAAGGAATCATCTTTTTCCTTTTGCTCCGTTAATTTTTGTATCATTCACCTAGTTGCTTTTGATCAAATCGTTTATCTATATAAAGGTGCAATAGTAAGGTGATGTATCAAAACAAAAGCTTTTTTGTCACGATCATCTGTCATTTTTTAGTAATATTTCACATGGTTGGCAACATTGCACATCGAAATTACAGTTAATCGAGTCATCAGCTGCGCTAAACGAACTATCTATTTATTGTGCCATGCCATGGTAGAAACCATAATCCAATAATAAGGCCATAAGCGATATGGCCAGAAGATTTCACCCGAGCAGTCAAAATGATCATCAGCTGCGCTAAATGGACTATCTATTCATTGTGCCATGGCAGTTTGACAGTTAATCGAATAGTCAGCTGACAGTTAATCGAATAGAATACCTTAAGGAACAGAGCATGATGCAATAATAAGATGATGTGTCAAAACAAAAACACCTGTTTTTAATTCGATCATCTGTCAAATTTAATCTAGTAATATTTCTCATGGTTGGCAACATTGCACATCGAATCCAATTAGAAACCATGGCACAATGAGTACGTAGTCCATTTAGCGCAGCTGATGTCTTGATTAATTGTCAAAGTGGGCAATTTTTACTTGAATTCGATGTGCAGTGTTGCCAACCATTTGAAATATGATATGGAAAAATTTGACAGATAATCGAGACAAAAACAAAGGTTTTTGTTCTGATACATCACCTTATTATTGCATCATGTTACAAACGAAAGATATTAACCGTACAAGACCTTTAGGAAACCTACTCGATAGAATTCCCAACCCGGGTATAGTTGTTATCCAGGTCAAGACCTCTACCACAGTTCTGGAGTAAATTATAAGGCAAGTGCATGTAAGAGTGAAGGAAGTGTAACTGTAGCGACTCAATGACAGCTGTTCTTGGTCTCTATAGAATGAAATCCTTGAGATTGACAGAGAAACGGCAACTTGCTGCAAAGAAGCCATCATCGCTGCAGACTATTCAAACTTCGGTATTTTATGCATCGGCGGCGACATAAAAAGGAAAATGGGAGGAAAATTGAACATGGATCCAATGGTAGTATTCACAGGAATATTTGAAACAATTGCCGAAACATTCCCAAGTGACGACTTGACAGATAGACGTTGGGTGCTGCTGCTCGCTCTGTAGCTGTTTTATGGAGCTAGTTGAAGGGAGTCGGGAGACCCCTGGGATTTTATAGATGAGTTGAAGATAGTTTTGGTATATGTAGCGGAACGTTATCGATATATAAAACGTGGAAGCGATTCGAAATCAGACTATGGATCCTGTTAGATTATATAGATTTCTCAACATTTTATTAAAGAAATATTTGCGGCGTCTTTATATATTGATGTTAAAAAGTCCCCTCCCCCCACATTCCGCTCAGCACATCTTTATCTTCCCATCCCGTTACATCCTTGGCTTCTGTCATCTTGGTATAGGTTTTGTTTATTCAAGTGGCATGATTTTATGTTTTCTTTCATGTTTCGGGCACCATCTGAATCATAAGAAGTTTCGTTTAAAGATGGGGAAAGTAACCCCAAACGCCCAAAAATGTGTTAGAACTTCTTCTAAGAGGATATCCATGGTGGTATTTATTTTTTTGGTGGGGAAAAGCTTTATTTTTTTTGTACTAGCCATGGAATGTTTGGGTTTCTTATTTTTTTTTCTTTCTTTCGTTCAGCGGCACATCGTCATCACGTTGTCATCATCTGCTGAAATGGTGGTTCATTTTACGGGTTGATGCTGTTGTTGCTGCCGCCATTGCCATGCCTTTGGTTTTTTTTTGCTCCAACCTAATGATGGTGGATGTGAATGTGTGTGTGGGTGTTGGTTGGCGGGAGCATTTTCTATACTGAAACTCTGAAATGAGGGTGGCAATGGCTGACGGTTTGTTTGACGGAATAACTGCTGGCCGTAGTGGTTGTTTCGGTTCGGAGATGGCGTAGTTGAAAAACATGTTTATTTTACTTTACCATTTTCATTTCATTTTTGTTTGTTAGCATCGTTCATGTGTGGGTGTATTTTGTGAGTGTATATATGTGTGTATATTTGTATGTCTGTAATATCCTTGTGCCGCACCAAGTCATCATGCAATGTGGGCGGAATAACTCAATTAAGGATCCATTTGATGCTGCTCACAGAAATTCCATACATCAGTTGTCTGTGTATATTGTATATGTGAAATATTTCTATGTATGTATATATGTGTGTGTGCTTATACATACACACAAATGCACATCAATTTAGCGAAATATATATTTAATGTGTATATATTTAACATAGAACAAGATGGAAATTCATTAATTTTTCCACTTCGTATTGAAGTCAATTTTAAATGAAAACTGAGCTTTGTTTATGTTGAAACTAGAAGATTGTTTTATGTTTAGGTTTTATAGGTAAGAATTTTTAATGTTTACTAATATTTTGTTGAAATATTAATGTAAGTGTTGTAAGAAATATAAATTGAGAACGATTACAATACCATTCAAAAGTAAAAAGCCTCACTAGACAGAATGACTGTCTTCTCAGCCTTATTGAGAAGCATAGAAATTTCCGCCTATATCAGAAAAGCATTCCAGCTTCACACATTCATCGAAAGTTACGGCAAACCGATATTTCAGATTCAAAGTTACTTTTGCGACCTCACTGCGGATTCCATCACCCAAAATAGGCATACATAGCCGAGCGCACATGACGACTTTGCCTCTGGCCAAAGAGTCGACTTTTAGACTTTCGGCTTTTTGTTTTGAATGAAAAGTCGACCTCTCGATCTTACGATTTTGTCAAACCTTTTCAAATTCGATTTTCAACTTTTACCGACTAACGCAAAATGAATTGTTGTCAACAGATAAAATAAAGTTCTGGAATGCGTAATTTTAGACAATTGGGGCTTTGTGGTAATAAACAAAGTATTTATGAAGAAAATCGAAAGGCGATCTTCAAAAGTTGACTTTCAGACTTTCTCAAAGATCAAAAGTTGATTCGACTTTTAGATTTTTCAATACAAAAAGTCGATTAGTCGAAAGTCAATTTATCTAAAATGTGAAAATCAAAGACGCTCTGGACAAGAAGGGTTACAGAAGATAAATCTGCAGCAACTGTAGCACGATAACTCAAACGTAATTCCTACGAATTAGAGAGAGTGTAAAAACTTACGCCTGAGTCAGGAGAACATTGCAATTTATATATGCGACGATTGTCCTACGACGGACAAGGATGATTGCTCTAATATTATG